CCGTTTTTACTTAATGTAGTACCAATGTCCTAGCCATAGCAATTGGACAAGGAGAAAAAGGCATCCAAACTGGTAAGGAAGAAGTAAATTGGCCACTATCTGCAGATGACATGATATAACAGATAGAAAACCCTAAAGATGCCACCAAAAAACTATTAGAATAAATGAATTCAGTGAAGTTGTAAGATACAAAATTAATATACAGAAATCTGTTGTTTCTACATACTAATAATGAAGTAGCAGAAAGAAATTTAGAAAACAATCCCATTTATAATAACACCAGAAAGAATAAAACAGAATACCTAGGAATAAACCTAACCAAGTTCGTGACAGACCTATACTCTGAAAACAATAAATCACTGATGAAAGAAATTGAAGATGACACCAATGGAAAGGTATTCCATGCTCATGGATTGGAAGAACAAATATTCTCAAAATGTCCATACTATCCAGAGCAATCCACAGACGCAAGGCCATCCCTATCAAATACAAAAGCATTCTTCACAGAACTAGAATAAATATTAAAATTTGTATGGAACCACAAAAGATCCTGAATAGCCAAAGCAATCTTGAGAAAGAAGAACAAAGCTGCAGGTATCACAATCCCAGACTTCAAGATATACTACAAAGCTACATTAATCAAAGAGTATGGTACTGGAACAAAAAGATACATATATATATATTATATGTATATATTATATATAATACACACACACACACACACACACACACATCAATGGAACAGAATAGAAAGCCCAAAAATCAACCCATAGTTACATGGTCAATTAATCTTTGACAAAGGAGAAATGAATATACAATGGGGAAAAGACAGTCTCAATAAATGTTGCTGGAAAACTGAACAGCTACATGCAAAAGAATCAAAGTGGACCACATTCTTATACTATACACAAAAATAAACTCAAAATGGATTAAAGACCTAAATGTGAGACCTGAAACCATAAAACTCCTAAAAGAAAACACAGGCAGTCATCTTGGACATCAGGCTTAGCAACATTTTTCTAGATGTGTCTCCTTAGGAAAAGGGAAACAAAAGCAAAAATAAACTATTGACACTTCATTAAAATAAGAAGGCAACCTATGGGATGGGAGAAGATATCTGCAAATGATTTATGTGATAAGGGGTTAATATCCGACATGTATATAGAACGCCTACAACTCAAAACTAAAAAAAACAAATACTCCTATTAAAAAATGGGCAGAGGACCTGAATAGACATTTTTCCAAATAAGACACACAGATGGCCAACAGACACATGAAAAAATGTTCAGTATCACTAGTCATCAGGGAAATGCAAATCAAAACCACAATAGGATAATCTCAGACTGGTTAGAATGGCCAATATCAAAAGGACAAGAAAAAACAGGTGTTGGCAAAAATGTGGAGAAAAAGGAACCCTCGTGCACTGTTGGTGGGAATGTAAATTGGTGCAGCCCTTGTGGAAAACAGTATGGAGGTTCCTCAAAAAATTAACAGTAGAACTACCATATGATACAGTAATTCCACTACTGGGTATTTACCCAGTAAAAAGAAAATGAAAACACTAATTCAAAAAGATATATGGGGGCGTCTGGTGGCTCAGTCAGTTAAGTGACCAACTCGGGATTTCAACTCAGGTCATGATCTCAGGGTCCTGGGATCGAGCCCCACAGCAGGCTCTGCACTGGGCAGGGAGAGTCTGTTTGAAGATTCTCTCTCACCCTCTCCTTCTGCGCCCACCCCCACCACTCGCATGCGCTCTCTCTCTAAACTAAATAAATCTTAAAAAAAAAAAAAAAAAAGATATATGCAGTCTTGTGTATACTGCAGCATTATTTATATTAGCCAAGCTGTGGAAGCAAACTAAGTGTCCGTCCTGATGGATGAATAGATAAAGACTACACACACACACACACACACACACACACACACACACACAATGGAATATTACTTAGCCATAAAAAGAATGAGGTCTTGCCATCTGCGACAACATGGATGGACTTGGTGAGTATTATGCTAAGTGAATTAAGTCAGACAAAGACAAATACCATTGATTTCACTTATATGTGGAATCTAAACAGAATCAGACCGATAAACACAGAGAACAAACTGATGGTTGCCAGAGGGGAGGGGAGTCAGGGGACGGGCAAAATGGGTGAAGGGGAGTGGGAGGTCCAGGCTTCCAGGTATGGGATGAGTAAGTCGCGGGACAAGGCACAGCAGGGAATACGGTGAATGGTACTGTAGTAGTGCTGTGTGGTGACGGGTAGTGGTTACCGTGTGGTGAGCACAGCGTAAGTACAGACTTGTCAAATCACTATGCTGTACGCTTGAAACTCACATAACATCGTGTGGCAACTATACTTCAGCTTGAATGAATGACTGAATGAATAAATGAATGGTTCTCAGGCTCCTGCTTTACATTCAGGCTCCTACCAGCTATGTGACCCTGGGCCAGTCTCTCCAGCCGCAGTTTCCCCAGGTACAAAATGGAGAGAACACCTCCACCTCTGTCTTGGGATTTGCGTGGGGATTAAATGAGACAACGCACAGACAGCATTTAGCACAGTATACGGCGCACGGTAAATATGTCAGCCATCACTCCAAGTCTGCAACTGTTGCTTACTTCCAACAGCAACTCTTTTCTGAGGTGCGTTCAAGACGTCTGAGCTGAAACGGTTTCATTAACCATTAGAAAAATGGGTGTACAATGCAGGGGATGCAGACTTGAGAGTCATCAGTAATCTCTTACTAGCTGAAACCATGAGAGCAGGCAAGACGGACACAGGGAGCTTTCAGAGTAGTGCTGTGCCAAGACGGGCGGAGGCGGGGGGGCTCCGGCGAGAGGCCAAGAGGGCCTGGGTGCAGAAGCACGAGAGGCCGGGGACCTAGGGGCAAAGTCAGGAGAGAAGGTGGCTAGTGGCATTAAATGCTGCACAGGTAAAACAAAGACTAAAGACAACCCTGGATCTGGCAATAAGAGGATCACCACGCATCTTATGGTGAAGAAGCAACAAGAGTGCGATGGAGGAAGGCGTGAGGAGGTGAGGGGTGGACGCTGGAGGAAAGAGAATCCCTCAGGAAGTTTAGAGATGAAGGGAAAAGTGAAGAGAGCGGGGTATGTGGGGGAAGGGAGGCCTGACACTATTTCTAGGCAGAGGGAAAAGAAGATGAAGGTAGAGGATGACACGTGACCACTGGGTGAGGCCCTGGAGGAAGGAGGAGGAGACAATACCCTGGACCCTGGTAACAGAAAGGTGCAGAATAATGCTTCTCCGTCTTTAATATGCATATGAGTGACCTGGGGAGGGGGGTTAGTTAAAATGACTCTGATTCGGAAGGCCTGGGGTCAGGCCTAGGACTCTACGTCTCTAACAAGCTTGCCGGTGATACTGACGCTACTTGCCCACAGATCACACTCTGAGCAGTACGGGTACAGACCATCTATCATCTCTCTATAGACCATCGAGAAATGCCTATCAAAACCACGGTGAGACATCACTGTGGACCTGTCACAATGGCTAGAATCACAAAGGTAAGAAGTAACAAGTGTTGGCAAGGATGTGGAGAAAAGGAAACCATTGTGCACTGTTGGTGGGAATGTTTATAAACTGGTGCAGCCACTGTGGAAAATAGTATGGAGGGCCCTTAAAAAGTTAGAAATAGTGGCAATTCCACTTCTGGGTATTTATCTGAAGAAAATGAAAACACCAATTTAAAGAGATACATGCATCCCTAATGTTCACTGCATTATTTACAACAGCCAAGATATGGAAGCAGCCCAAGTATCCATCGATAAATGAATGGATAAAGATGTGGTGTGTATGTACAACAGAATATTACTCAGCTGTAAAAAACAATGAGATCTCACCATCTGTGACAACACGAATGGACCTAGACAGTATTATGCTAAGTGAAACAAGTCAAACAGAAAGACAGATACCATATGATTTCATTTGTATGTGGAATCTAAAAACCAAACCAAAACAAACAAAATAAAACAAAACAGAGTGATATAGGAGACAGACTTTGGTTACCACCCGAGGGAGGGGCTGAGGAGTGGGTGAAGTGGGTGAACTAGGTGAAGGGGACTGAGAGGTACAAACTTCCAGTTATACAAGTCAGTCACAGGGATGCAAAGTCCAGCATAGGGAACAGAGACAATAATATCGTAGTGACTTTGTACGATGATGGATTGGAACCAGACTACCACGGTGAACATTTAGTAATGTCTACAGATATGGACTCACTGTTGTGCACCAGAAAGTCATACAATACTGTATGTCAACTACACTTTAAAATAGAGTTAACAAAATTCAAAGTGGACAAGTCTTCCCCTTCTGTACTTTAAATACCAGTCTTCACGTATTGTTGGAATACCTAAATGTTTAAAGTCCCCATGGGTACATTAAAGTACAAACTGCTTCTAGGAAAGAAGCCGCAGTATGACATCCCCTACTTTGAACGTGCCATCTTATAATAAAAGAAATACAACTGTAAAATTTTGAGATGGCATTTCATAATTTCAGTATTTCACACCTTCCTTTTTAAAAGACTGTCAAGTTGTTGCAGTCCATTTAAAAAAGAAGAGACCAGGGGAGGGGGTGGGCGGATGGGTTAGCCTGGTGATGGGTATTAAAGAGGGCACGTTCTGCATGGAGCACTGGGTGTTATCCGCAAACAATGAATCATGGAACACTACATCCGAAACTAATGATGTAATGTATGGTGATTAACATAACAATAATTTTTTTTTTAATTAAAAATAATAAAAAAGAAGAGACCTGGTGCTAGAGTCCAAACTGAGAGGCAGGCGCACTGTCCCCCCGTTTCTCTTGCGTTCTCAGACCCTGGGCAGCCAATCACTCACCCGGGAGCTGTGTGGGCCCTCCCATGAGGCTGCGAGCCTCCCTCCGTGTGCTAGGACAGGGTTTACTAGCTCTGGTTCTGAAGCGCCATGGCTTCCAGGTTAGAAGGTGAGCGCGACCGCACACCGTCCTTACCCCTTCACTGGTTTTCTGCAAGTCTGAAGTCGTGTTCCGTGTGTCATTGCCAGCGTCTCCGCCCTCAGAGCTGCTTTTGTTTTCCTCTTCTTTGCAGTCCTTGTCATCTTCATCCCCTGGAGATTTCCGGGACTGTTTAGAGGATTTCTAAACGTTCGGACAAGTTAAAAATTATAGTCAAAAGTACAACTCCAATGCACAAGTGTAAGAAAGAAACGCAGAAGTGGCTGACGTACATCCAGTCATGGGGCTCGCTACAGGACAGGCCAGTATAACAGGGCAGTGTGCGGAGGCTGGGCCAGGGGACCTGGGATAGAGCGAGCCACCTCACTGGGCCTCAGTGTAACCAGCTGGAAAAGGAGGTACAGGTGCACTCAATGACCTGCTTGTTCTTTCCAGCAGCACAATGTTAAAAGCAGAAAAGAAAGAGTCATGTCCCCAGAGCACTGCCAATGGATGAATGATAGCTGGGTGGACAGCACAGCACCACCTTAGGAGGCTACAGGGCTACGAGGCTTCCCCAGCATTTCACGGTAGAAACTCAGGTCCAGAGAGTGAGGTGAACTATCTAAGGTAACAGATGAATACTCCTGTTAAGGCACCTGTTGAAGCTCTTTGGTTAAGAACAGACAACATTTATATCACCATGTGACAGAAACAAACTTTAATCTTTTATATTACGGATAGTTTTGGGGGGCGCCTGGATGGTTCAGTTGGTTAAGTGACTGCCTTCGGCTCAGGTCATGATCCTGGAGTCCCGGGATCGAGTCCCGCATCGGGCTCCCTGCTCAGCAGGGAGTCTCCTTCTCCCTCTGACCCTCTTCCCTCTCGTGCTCTCTATCTCTCATTCTCTCTCTCAAATAAATAAATAAAATCTTTAAAAATAAATAAATAAATAAATTACGGATGGTTTTTGCAGGGCCCGAGGGAACCAGCCCTTTTTTATCACCTTGCCTTTGAAATCAAGATGAACTCTAAGGAAGATGAAAATAGAGTTCTAGTTTACAGCCAGAGTTGTTTTGGAGAACAGCATTAAAATGATCAAAAGCCGGCCCCGCTGTGCACCTTTAAAAAAGAAAGTAAAGCGTACCATTTCATTAACATGTCCTCTCAGGAATTTTAAGAATCTTTAAGCACATGGCAAATAAGAGCTGAGGCAAAACCGATTTAGCCATGTCACTTTTGGTCTTCCAGAAATGAATTAGCAAATTGGAGCTTCCTCAGACAATCAATATTTTAAATACAACTTCCAAAGAGAAAATATCTTCTAGCTATGTGACATAGCATGTAATTACATTGCTTCTATTTTACTTAACTGAAACCACCAACCAAGCTCAAAATGTCAGTTTAAAAAATGAGGTCATCTTTACTTTTTACAGGATGGAAAAGCAGAGATTTAATCATCCAAATGTGGAATGTCTACAGTTTAAGCTAACATCAAGTATGACAATACAAAAAGCACACTACTTTTTGTTTTCCTAGTAAATACAGTATAATTACTGAAAGGTAGTAACTGCTTTATGTAGTAATTCTCAAATAATAGTCTCCGGCCTACAGTTCTTAGAGGTAATAATACACAACTCCCTAAATTTCACAATGCTTACCAAGGATCCTGAGCAACCCCACAGTGACATATCTATAAGTACTATAGTCTGGCACGTGGACCAGAATTAGGGCACTACTGAAGTTCTGCTCAAGAGTCACATTCAGTACTTAAAGAAATCTGGCTGCCCAGCAAGATTTGTTAACCCTGCAAAGCTCTTACTGTGCTGCAAACTCAAGATCATGGCAATTCTTGTAATTCTGGAGAAGGACCCTCCATCTGTTTCAGCACTGTAGTCTTGAATTGGTTGTGTGTCTAATTGTTGCCACCTTTGTTTTTTTTAACCAAGATTAAAAGTGGTTTAGCATCATCACCAGTTTACTGTGTTGTAAGGCTCTCTGGTTCGCCCTACTTTATACAGTAAGTAATGTGCATGGAAAGTATTCAGACCTGTAATTTTCCAGTATCTGTTATGGCTCAGATATGAATCATCCATATACTTACTGCCAAAAAGATATACACATAACTTCCTTCAAATCTGCTTTTTGACTGAGACGTAGTCAAAAGTTTGTGAACCATTGGTTTTCAGTGGCAAAGGAAGATTATTCAACCTTAAGAAATAGGTGTAAAGAAAGATCACCATAGTCAACAAAAAGGAAACATTTGGGAAGCCAAGGAGAAAGGAGATTATGTCAGGAAAGTGCTTCTCTACATGTGGTTCCCAGATCAACAGCATCAACCTTACCTGGAAATTTAATTCTCAGACCCCACACCCAAGGCCTACTCAAACAGAAATTCAGGCGGTTACGTTTAGCGATGTGTGTTTTAACAAGCTCTCTGATGCATATGTAAGTTTGAGAACCACTGTGCTAAGTTTCTCAGTCAATAGTAAAAATTAAAAATCATTTATGCGCGGGGCGCCTGGACGGCTCAGTCGTTAAGCTTCTGCCTTCGGCTCAGGTCATGATCCCGGGGTCCTGAGATCGAGCCCCGCACCGGGCTCCCTGCTCAGCGGGAGGCCTGCTTCTCCCTCTCCCATTCCCCCTGCTTGTGTTCCCTCTCTCACTGTCTCTCTGTCAAATAAATAAATTAAATCTTTAAAAAAAAATCATTTATGCGCTTCCAAAGTTTTTGTTTGTGCATAATTTGTCTTGACAATAAATAAAATAGTAAAAAGTCAAAGAAATTTAAAAATCATGGTTCTTAAGTGATCATGGAAGTTGTGACCTTGAAGGAAAAGAAAAAAAAAAAAGATGATCCCTTAATCTAAAATAGATAAACCTTAGTAAGTAAAGTTTGTCTTTACCCCTTCACTGCTTTAAATTATATATCCACATCAGGTCTGAGCCCTATGACTTCTGGTCTTCACAACAAGCAAGGAAATAATGACGTTGAAAAGCTGCATATCCACACTATCAAATGCCTCAGATACCTCAGGTAGCTTAGGTAATTTAGAAGGGTACAACACATCATACAGCTCAGCAGGAAATCATAAATTAAAAATATCAATTGAATTGGGTATTTAAATGAAATCCAAAATACTAAAAAAAAAAAATTCAGCTTAAAAAAAATGTATTGGAAGATACAGTCTGCCGAGGAAAATTCCAATTGTTTTGTTGTGATTTGCAAACTTTATTCCCATCCAAGGCAGACACCATGTTTTTCATTGGGTGCACAGGAAGTAATGTATAATCATACAATTTCACCTGTATGCTAGTTGGGTGGATTTTATAGATCGTAAAATAAAATGCTGATAATCAACTCCTGGTGCTTGGTTTTTAAGGAGTTGCCTAAGTCTGTCCAGCCACTAAATACCAGAATCTAAAGGGAAGTAATTTATCCCAGTATTCAATCATGTGACAGACCAATTATAGTGAAACCTGTACCAATCTCTGGTCTTCAAAGATCTATTTACCTTGCCTATCTTTTTAAAGGTGAACAATTTTCACAATCTCATAGTTTGTTCAACTGCATGTCTGAATTACTGTATGAAAAACCTAGACTTTCAATGTGTAAATCTAGGATCATGTCACTCCTCTGTTTAAAGCCTTCAATAAATTCCCATCACATTGGGAATAAATCCAAATTCCTTAATGTGGCACCCAAGTCTCCATCACTGAGCCTTTGTCTGCCTCTCCCTTTTGGTCATGATCCCCAACAATGCTTGTCTTCTTTCAATTCAGGACATGCCAGACCCTTTCTGCCTCAGATCTTGGCTGCTCTGCCCCACCCAGCCCTCCTCCTCTGCTCTTTCTTCAGCCCTCGGTATAAACTTTGCCTCTTCAGAAAAGCCTGAAGTTGTTTTGGAGAAAAGCCTGGCCACCCTATCTGAACCACATGCTCTTCCCACTCATTGCCTTCAGAGCCCCCCCATAATTTATATTTATTATTCGCACAGTCTTTAAAGCAGAAAGACAGGTTAAGAGTATATCTATTTACACAGACTTGTCCTGAATGGTGCTGAGTCTCCTATATTCCTAAATTCTTCCCAGAGCTCATTTGGAGGTTCTTAGAGGAGGCATAGCTACTCCTGTGCCCTTGATGAAAGAACAGTCCTTCTCCAACTGAGAAGCGGTATTTCAGTGCCAGGTCAGCTCTGAAGATGCCCTCACGTCTAAGGTTACCTGTCCTATTCCCCTTGGCTATATCTTACTGTCTCTGGAGGCAGAGGTCCACAGAGCTAGCATACTTCTATGCGCCCAAGGAATGAATTAAGAATAATCTAAAACCTTAATGAACGTGCACATAACATTAATAACAATGGAAAACGTTCTCGGTCACCTTTGAAGTGTAGGACTTTTTCCGTTTTGAGCCCGCTTTTTCATTCTTTCTTTTGCCTTTTCCATCTTCTTCTACTCTATCCCCTTCCTCCTCACTGCTTGCATCTGCAGTATTCCCGCCTTCTCCCTCAGTTTCGGAGGAGCTCTGCTGCTGAATTGCCTGGGAAATAGCAAGATATTGGCTAATTACATTTTTTAAAAACATAGCAAAGAATACAGACTGTGAAAAGAATCATTCTATTTTAATCTGAAAGGGTTCCAGCTTACTCTTAAGATTTTCAAAATAAAGGACTGTCAACTTCAATTTTCCAGTGACCACTTGATTTGAACCCTCTTGAGTAACAGAATTACATTTAATCCAAAATGTTACTGGAGTTAAAAAGAATTCTGATTTCAAATAGATGGAGGGTAACTACTAGTACAAAGGACATGTAAGAAAGACCCCAAAGAGAGTTAAAAACCAAAGAAATGAGATCTAACAATGAAGCAAACCATTACCTGGTACCCAGTAAACTTCACTCCTGGGTTATTCTCTATTTCCCACAATCCTTCATTAAATCCTTTCCGTTTGTTTGACTTTCCAAACTTGTCTTTGTATTCCTTATATGGAAAAAGGTCTTTCGGACCTAAAAATGCACTGCAGAGATATATTAGAAATAGAATTGACACTTTGGCCTTCAAATATAAGCTATTTTTAATATCAATATCAACTAAGGTATCACAGCATATCTTAGTAAACAAACTAAAAGTATACATAAACCCTCTGAGTTGGGCACATATCATAAAATAGTTTACATATATATGGAGCCCCTGGGTGGCTCAGTCGGTTAAACGTCTGACTTCAGCTCAAGTCATGATCCCAGGGTCTGGGGATGGAGCCCTCTTGGGCTCATGCACTCAGCGGGGAGTCTGCTTCTTCCTCTCCCTCTCTCTCTCTCTGCCACTCCCCGCTCATACTCTTGCTCGCTCTCTAATAAATAAAATCTTAAAAAAAGTTTATACATATGCTTCTAGGCAGGAAAACTGGATAGCTGGCTATATAAGCCAGCAACTCTAGACTGTGCTACTTTGATTTTACTTTTAAATTACCAATTTATTTTTTTGTTTTAAAACTGACTTTTAGTTAGTTTTAAAAATGTCCAAACATTGACCACTTAAATCATCATCTTAAACTAAGACTTATTTATGTTAACCTTCCACTGGTAAGGTTTTGTGAGATTTACAGTAAAAATATAAACAATGGTTACAAAAGTGATTTTAACTCTATATATCACATTAGTATATTTATTCACTATTATTTCTATAAATAAAAAAATCATATTAGTGATTAATGAGGCACAAATAAGAAAAAAATCAGATATAGCAAATAGAATGTTATGCAATTTAAACTTTATCCTAATTTAATCTTAACCAGAAAAAGGAAATGAGTTCGAGTAAATCCTGGGACTGGCTAAAAGATCTGAGCATTCAAACTAGAGTCTCTTCAGCATTATCACCTATAATATATTAACCTGGTGAATGAGATGGTAGAGGCCCACATCCTGGCTGACACCCAAGAAGCTTACATTTCAAACTAAGAGTCATAGATCCTTCCATCTGACAAATCTGACTGAACATCTATAATGTGTCAGGCACTGCTGAGGTGTTGCGAATTCTGTAGGGACCCCACGGATGACTATCTCTGCCCTCACGGAGCACACATTCTAGGAGTGCGAGTAGGGTTTGGACAAACACAGAAAAGAAAAAACACAGTACTGTGTGCTAACATAAATAAAGCAGAGAAGGAGATGGCAAGACTAGGGGTGGATCTGGTTATTTAAAATCCACCGATCATGGAAGGCCTCCCTGAGAGGGGAGCATCGAAACAGGAGGCGGAGAAGCAGGCCGCACAGTCTCCGGGGGGAGAGGGCAGCAGACCCAGGGAAGAGCGAGTACAACAGGCCCGAGGTGGGGGTGCCTGCCGTGTTGAAGAAACGAAGAGGCCAGCGTGCCTAGAGTGAGAGCAGGATGAGAGGAGGTCAGAGAGGGGACCGGGCGGGGGCACAGATTATGTGAGGCCTTGAAGGCCGCTATCGAGGCTCACAGACAGACGGGCAACCATGGAAGGTTTGAGAAGTGACAATCTGTTTTAATAGGATCCTTCTAGCTGCTGTGCTGGAAACAGACTGAGGAAGTGGGCACTAGGGTAGAAGCAGGGAGACAAATCAGCCCACCAAAGGGATGGTGGTGACTCGGGCCAGGGTGTGCGCAGTGCAGTGGGTGAGCAGCTGCTGGATTCTGAATTCACGCTCAAGAAAGAGCCGACGTGATTGTCAATGGGCTGGAGATGGCGCGTGGGAGAAAGGAAGGAGGTGAGGCTGTCTCCAAGGTGTCAGGCTGAGAAATAAGAACAGAGGTGGCATTTACTGAATTGAAAGATTTTTGAGAGAACCAGACTTGAAGGTGAAAAGCTCAGTTTGAGATGTTAAATTTGAAACCCCGGTTTGACATCCAAGTGAGGAGGTCAAGTAGGCAGTTGGAGAGGTAATTCTGGAACTCAGGGGAAAGGTCTGAGATGGAGACATAAAAGCTCTGAGACTGTGAGGTAACAGTTTACTGTTAATCTTCATAAATTCCATTTTCTGGGCAACCCTCTCGGGTCCCCTTCCTCTTCAGGAGCTTTGTACTATCGCTTGATGCTACTGCTCAATAAACTTTGCTTCCCACCAAAATATATATATATAATATATATGTATATTTATATTTTCTGACTGGGTCTTAGTACTGATTCCTCATTGCCTAGCTGATCAAAGACTTCAAGCTGATAAAAATACCTGTGGAAACTTTCTGACCCCAACCACCAAAACTCCCTTGACCTTTAATTGCTTGGTCAACATGATTCTATCTCATTGAATCCAGACAAAACTTATTAGGTTACTGGACATTTTAATCAAAGGCGTGACAAATGGAACATGAGAAAGAAATGGACTTTGGGTATGTCCATTTTACTTTTCAAGAAGTTTGTCACGCATTATTAGACTATGGTTTTTGACCTTTCTCCAGCATTTGACTCTGCGTGTAGGAATTAACTATGGGCTAAGCTGCTGAGGGTCCCACCAGTTACTGCTGCTAACCAGAGCTTGCCTGTACTTTACTGAGGCAGGGTTAATGGTTCAAATGGCCATGGCAGCCGCTGCCAGAAACAAGAGCCCTGAATGTACTGTTCTAAAACAAAGTATTTTTGATACACAACCTTGTTTTTTCCTAGATTATAGAAAGATAATTCCTCAAATCAAATTTCCTCCCAATTGGTTAACTTTCCTGCATGTTTCACAAATCTTAAAGTGTAGGCCAGGAAATAAAACTGTTCAAAGCTCCAGGCTCTAAGGATGTTATTTTTTTTTCTCCTGGCCAAGGCTGCCTTGAAAAGTGTCCAGACTAAAACTGCTGGGGTGGTTATATGGAGCAGAAGAATTTGGGGGCTCCAATGACCTATCTGTCTGGGCATTAGAGTAAATTCAAGTCGATGTTCTGAGGAAAATTCAAGTCGATGTTCTGAGGAAAATTCTAGTCACGTGGGGGTGCTCCTCTGGCTGACCTGCACACAGCTTTCTTGCTAAGTTCCTCACCTTTCATATATTTTTTTCTCCTTTTCATTTATTTCATTTTATTTTTTTAAAATCATTTATTTCATTTTAATTTAATTTTAATTCATCCAACAGCTCTTATTTTAAACACTTACCATTGGCCAGGCACTGTGGTAAGCACTGTGTCCACAGGAGTAAGCAAACCCTACATGATCTCTGCCTCCACAGAGAGGCTGAACATTTTAGGTACCTGCCCAGGCATACAGTCTCAGGTTCAGGGATACCCAATACCTAATAAACGCTCTGCTGAAACAAACTTATGGCAGGTTTTGTGAAATTCATTTTCCTCTAGATGTTTCAAAATCTACCTCTGGATGATCAAACCAGCAAAAAACCACATATGGACTATATTATACTGCTCCTTGGTAGAACTGGGTTTACTGAATTGAGCCTTGGAATGATGCCATTGGCTTCTATTAAGGATACTGTAAAAAACAGCTCTGTGAAACCCTTCACACTGTTCACTGGAATGATCCTGTTACATTCACCAGCAATACACCAGGTGGAAGCTCTTTAGTTATATAGCGCTTTAAGGAATGCCTAGAAAATGTTTACTAAGTAAATAAAAGTGACCACATAATGTTAGTAAATGGTTGATTTGTCCTATATACTGGAAATGTGATAATCTTGTTTATTAAATCCTGCCTGATTCCAGGAATACAATCCAATCATTTGGAAATAGGTCCTAGAGAAAAAGCACAGTAACTGTATAGATGTAAACTGGAGACAGGAATGGAGCAAATAGAAAAATACGTATCATAAAGTCCTTTGCACTTATTATAGGTAAAACATCTCTAAGCTTTCTAGCAATCTCTATGGAGGAAAACATGGTAATGGTGCATAGTATGTACACAGTGTCTATCAGATAAAAACAAAAGAAAATAAAACCAACTTTCTGAAAGAAACAATTATTTCTCACATGAAGCCAAGAAATAAATATGTCTTAAGGGCCTTCTGTCTCCTGGCTAGCTCTCTTTCTTTTTTTATTTTTTTTTAAAGATTTTATTCATTTTTATTTAGAAAGAGAGAGAACATAAGTTGAGGGAGGGACAGAGGGAGATGGAAAGAGACTCTCTAGCGGACTCCGTGGTGAGCACGGAGCCCAACGCAGGGCTCGATCTCATGACCCTGAGATCACGACCTAAGTGGAAATCAGGAGTTGGACACTCAACCAACTGAGCCACCCAGGCGCCCTGTGGCTAGCTCTTTCCAGATAAAAATGAAGAAGATGTCAGACTGGCAGAGACTGCAAGCTAAGAAAAAGTTCACGCCTGGCTCTACTCTTTCAAATGAACACAAGGGAGGATCCTGAATTTGAAGACTTGTAAAATTTCATGACAGTTTGTAGCTTTCCCCCACACATGCAATTCCTTTTTTTTTTTTTTTTTAAGGTTTTATCTATTTATTGGACAGAGAGAGAGAGACAGCGAGAGAGGGAACACAAGCAGGGGAAGTAGGAGAGGGAGAAGCAGGCTTCCTGCTGAGCAGGGAGCCCGATGTGGGGCTCGATCCCAGGACCTTGGAATCATGACTTGAGCCAAAGGCAGATGCTTAACGACTGAGCCACCCAGGCGCCCCCACATATGTAATTCCTATTCCATTTATGTCCTTGCTCTGACTGACCATACACATTTTTACTGTGTCAAGATTGCCAACCATCTCCTAGTATCTACTATCTTCTTTCTTTAATCAATGGATTACTCCTTCCAATTGTTTTCCCATTAAGAGTTGCCCAGCTAAAGGATATGTTTCCCAATTCCTGACAGCAACACGTGGCCAAATGACTGAGTTTTTGCCACTGCAATGAATGTGAGTGTAAGTGATATATGCAATTTCCTTGTCATTTCTGTACAAAGAAGTTACCCGCTCTTCCTGTTTTCTCTTTCTTTCTGCCTTCTCTCTACCTGGAAGATGCACAGATGCTGCTGAGCCCCGTTTTGTTTGTTTGTTTTTAAGTAAGCAGACAAGAGCAACACTCCTGGGAATGGCAGGACAATGTGACAGAAGGAACCTGGGTCCGTAGAGCACAGTAGTCTACCCACCTTGATCTACCTGCCTATCTCTGGATTGTTTCAAAAGAAAGAAAGAATTTTTTTTTTCAAGATTTTATTTATTTATTTGAGAGAGAGAATGAGATAGAGAGCATGAGAGGGGGAAGGTCAGAGGGAGAAGCAGACTCCCTGCTGAGCAGGGAGCCCGAATGGGACTCGATTCCGGGACTCCAGGATCATGACGTGAGCCGAAGGCAGTCGCTTAACCAACTGAGCCACCCAGGCGCCCAAAAGAAAGAATTTTCTATATTATTTGAGACACTGTAGTTTCAGGTTCCGTTGTTCAGCAGTTTAGCCTGTACTCTAACCAATACAATTTAAAAACCTTATTAAGTTGGTATGTTTGCTTCAGGGTTCAACAAATTGAAAAGAACCTGAGACAACATGTTGTATGAAATATAAATGGATGAAGTTTCTCTAGAAAGAAAATATATAAGAGCAACAAAAGAAATTACTGGGAGTGGTAAGGAGACTACCCTTTTGTGTCCTAAAGGAGATTCTGGGTAATGTCCAACATTTACACAGAAATAACATTCAAAAGCAAATGAATGAAAAATCTTCACATTAAGAAAAATACATTATTAAGCTTGGTAATTTTATATAATTGTGATCCTTTTAATAACATATAAAATGTCATAGATCAGGTATAAACAGTGTAGTATAGTAGATCCAAATTAGAGCTGCTGAAGCTTTAAGTTGTTTTGTTGACTTACGTTTCATGGGTGCCAAAAAAGAAGATAGGATACTTGTTTGCTGGGGGCTTCACAGCTCCCTCTGGGAGTTCATCAATCTGTTAAAGATAAATTTAGTTATTAAATATTCAGTTAAATCATGTAAAGTAACATAAACATGATATAAACATTTTTCTGGTAACTTCAAAATAAAATTATTCTAATAAAAATCCCAATAATTTTTCTTTTTTTGAACTTTACAAATGATTCCAAAGTTCATATTTGGCCCACCACATGGAGAGTAACACTCTAAATTGATTATAACCATTATGATAATACATAATCAGGAGCCAAAACTACTCATTTCCTTTGACTCAATAGAATTACCGCTGGGAATCTGTCCTAGTAAAATAATTAAAAAGAGTATCAAGAACAAAAAAAACCCCCAAAAGATGCACTTTTTGGAGATGACAGTGAATTTTTACACACACACACACACACACCCAGAAACATGTGTTGCATGATAGAGATTATAGAAAATTAACTCAATGAAGTATTATATTGTTATTAAAAATTATCAGCTCTTGCCTAGACTACTGCAAGTTTCTCTCTCCACCCATTTAAGCTATAATTACCTTTATTTTAATTTTTTAAGTAGGCTCCACCCCAGCATGGAGCCCAACATGGGGCCTGAACTCATGACCCTGAGATCAAGACCTGAGCAGAGATCAAGAGTCTGACGCCCAACTGACTGAGCCACCCAGGAGCCCCCAGAATTACCATTTATTTATTTATTTAAATAATTTATGTATTTATTTGTCAGAGGGACAGAGAGAGAGCACAAGCAGGGGGAGTGGCAGGCAGAAGGAGAGGGAGAAGCAGGCTCCCCACAGAGCAAGGAGCCCAATGTGGGACTTGATTCCCGAAGTCAGGACCTGAGCTGAAGGCAGACACTTAACCAACTGAGCCACCCAGGTGTCCCTAGAATTATCTTTTAAAACAAACATTTGATTATCTCACTTTCTTGCTTCAAATCCTTCTATAGCTTCTCATTGCTTAGAGCATTCTTATCTGTGCATATGAAACCTCTGGAACTTAAAAAAAAATATATACTTCAGGGGCACCTGGGTGGCTCAGTCGGTTAAGCGTCCGCCTTCAGCTCAGGTCATGATCCCAGGGTCCTGGGATTGAGCCCCGCAGGGAGCCTGCTTCTCCCTCTCCCTCTGCCTGCAGCTCCCCCCATTTGTGCTCTCTGTCAAATAAATTAATAAAATCTTAAAAAAAACCATACACAGGCACACACACACTTCAGTCCTCTCCAAAGACCTACAGATTCTTATGTATAGCTGGGGTTGAGAAACTCTAATAAGATAAAGTTGAAATTCCTTAGCTATTATATAGTTATATATTCATAATTCCTTACAGTGTTTCAGGAAATGGTCCTTGACTCACAAATCTCCATCTGCAGCCCCAGCCTTTGAACTCCTGTAATTCTGACCGGATTATTTTGAACTGTAGGCAAGAAATTGCTGATGTCTACAAACCACTTCCATTTACAGGTCCGCCAAGCAGCTTAAGTTGAAGAAAAGGCTACAAAGAGGAGAAGGGGCACACCTGCAATTCAGAGAGCAAGAGGCAGGGCACGGAAGCCCGTCTCCTGAGGAGCTGTGCAGGCCCCCTTCACTCACACACGGCAGCAGCCTGGGGAGGACACCATCACACGTTCCCTTGGAACCAAAGGAAGTCCGTCTCAGAGCAGACACTCTGTGTGTGGAGGAAAGATGAACTTCGAGTCTAGAATGTGTAAAGTCCTGCTTCTGATTTAAACTGGGACATCAAAGGTATCACCTCATTCATCTCCTGGGGCCTTGACTTTCCCATCTGTAAAATGAGATGGCTGCACGTGGCAACCTCTCGATTTCCTTCAAGTCCTGAAATACCATGGCTTGTCTAAAACTGAACTTACTTCCCCTGAATCTGTTTTTGTTTTCTATCTTAATTATTGGTATAGTCTGTTACTAAGAAAGAAACCTTCATCATTTTATTATTTCCTCAAGCCCCATATTCAGTTTTTCACCTTTCTCCAGTTCAGCTCCAGAAATGTCTCTAAATTGATCATCATTCCCATTAGTAAATTTAGTGCCCTAAACAAGTTCTCATGATCTTTCGACAAGGCCACTGTAGTGGGCTTTTGAAGTATCTCCTTTTCTCCAGGCTTTTTCCCATTACATTCAATATTACCCTACAAAGACAGTTTAAAATGAATAATTTAATTTGAATCAATTCACTAAACATTCAATAACGTGTGTATGATAATATATGGTAAAAATCATGACATAAAATTTTCCATCTTTTTCTTTTTAAGATTTTTTATTTATTTGACAGAGAGAGATAGCGAGAGCAGGAACACAAGCAGGGTGAGTGGGAGAGGGAGAAGCAGGCTTCCCGCTGAGCAGGGAGCCCAATGTGGGGCTCGATCCCAGGACTCTGGGATCACGACCTGAGCTGAAGGCAGACGCTTAACCGACTGAGCCACCCAGGCGCCCTAAAATTTTCCATCTTAACCATTTTTATGTGTACAGTTCAGTAGTAACAATATTCACATTGTTGTGAAACATATCTCCAGAAGGTGAATAACTACATTTTTAATGGACAAAAAATAACTACATTTTAATGGACAAAAAAATTTTAAGTGGAAATGCATGTTAAGTATGTGGAGGACATACCATTTGATAAAACACCACTGTCATGTTTTTGTCACTCTTATAAAATAAGTGAAAGTAAACAATTTAAAAAGGAATTTTCTCTTTTAAAACTTTCTTTCCAACAAAAATACAACTTTTGGTTAAACTCTTTTCTTCTGCTACAATGTTACACAAGTAATATCTACTGTATAGGTCGTAAAGTGATGGCCCTTGGGCCATTTCTGGCCTGAAGATAAGTTTTGTTTGGCTCATACAGTGTTTTTTGTTTTTTGGGTTTTTTAAACTGAATTAGGTATCAACACTTTAAAACAGGAAGATTCACATGAAAATCCAGATTAATCGCTTCTGTGAAAAAAATATTAAAGACAGGGATAAATAAGCATTCCCACAAGGTGACAATTCAACATTTTCAACAGTTGCCACCTTTAGACAAAATATGTGCCCTCAAGTATGTTACATGCCCACCACGCTCTAGATCATGTTATAAATGCCTGTGTTCCTTATTTATATTGCTTACCGGGCCCCTGGAACATATAAGTTTGTGTCCCTATAATAAATACCATCAAAAATAGTATAACTGGCCTTACCACCATGCTGTCCCCCCCCAAGAAAGGGGTTAAAGAATGTGTTGAGACATGTACTCACCGCATTTTATTGAGTCTTTGTTTTTAACTCTTTTGAAAATTAGACTTTGGCAATTTTGGAATAGATACATCTTCCTGAATCTATTAAAAAATGTACCTCCCAGGGGCGCCTGGGTGGCTCAGTCCTTAGGCATCTGCCTTTGGCTCATGTCATGATCCCGGGGTCCTGGGATCGAGCCCCGCATCAGGTTCCCTGCTCAGCGGGAAGCTTGTTTCTCCCTCTCCCACTCCCCCTGCTTGTGTTCCATCTCTCTCTGTCAAATAAATAAATAAAATCTGTTTTAAAAAAATGTACCTCCCACTGTTTTTTGGCTCCTACAGTGAATAGCAAGTGGCAACAGAACTTTATCTTCAGAGTTTGTTTTTCTCTACTGTTTGTTTTTCTGACTTTGTACTTTGTATTTTTACTTTTGTTTCTGGTTCTTGGCTATGTTTGGTTCTGACTCTGGTTTGCACACAGCCAAAAGTTATTCCCCATTACAGGATGATGGTGACCTCTTGCCTTTGGGTATGACATGGCACAAAATCTGGTATACCAGTGTTTTAGTTTGTAGAAAAATGTCTTGCTTCTATTAGAAAGAAGAAAAGCCCTTTCTTCTAGATCAGTGAATATGTGTATTCTGTGTTTCCTTTAACCTGTACCTGAAGTTTTAGACCTGAAGCCATAAGCTCTCTATGTGTTTGTACTTGACAGTACAAACCCCTCCTTTACCCCTCCCCTTTTGTGATTTTGAAACATTTTTCTACTTCAGGAAAGGGTCTTAACAAATTAGATATAATTTTCTTAAAACAAAAGAGCTCTTTTTATTGGTTTACAGATACTAATATGACTTATAAAAATTTGATATAAAGGAAAAATATATGAAAATATACATATTTATATATATAAGGTTTCTTTATATATTTACGTATAATATAAAGGAATATAAAAATCTAATATAAACCTAAGAATCCTCAGGGAAAAAAAATGAATGTATAGTAAATTAAATATGGTAGCCTTATTGCTCTGTATTTATTTGTCTGCTTTGAACATTATAGAAACACTCAGGGGATGTCAGTTAGAGACCAAGCCTCTATAGCTTGGAGTCTACAAGTCTATAGCCCTTTGAAAGGGAGGCAACCTCTTATTTCCTAGAAAACCTCAGAATTTCATCCCTGGACCTTCACCATTAGTATTACCTGGGGACTCATTAGAAATGCTAGTTCTCAGTCCAGAACCCTGACCAACTGACTTAGACACCTGGGGAGTTAAGCCCAAGAATCAATGTTTTAAGAAACTTCCAGCTGATTTTGAATTACATTATAAGATGTTCCATCCTCTTGCTGTGGTTCCTGTGGGTGGATTGCCTTCATTTCTTGTGATTAATATGAGTCTCAATATATCTGCAGGATTTTTGCACGGAGATTGCAAAAATGCACCAATGCAGGATTGCTTTCCTAATGCTTTAAAATGTATAAAATGTCAACATTTCTATTTTTTATTAAAGGAGTACTTTATTATATTAAATGTGGTGACCTTCTAAGGAAAATCCTTCTCACAGAAACTGATAGGTCAGAGACATCTGTATAAAAAATCCAAATTTAAGTAATCAAAGTGAACAAATCAGATGTGATAATATTGGTGTAAAAACAACTTTGTCTGGATTTAATCATTGTTGAATGTAATATAAGCAAATATTTTATTTTCTTAAGTAAAATTTGGTTTGTTTTCTCATGAAGATACTAATTACATTGGAACTTTTTAAACAGGTCTACTGATAAGCTAATATTACTTCCATATAATGGTAAAGATTAAGGAAAACATAAATGAATTATAGTTCTGGCAAGCTTTTCTATATCAACAGTATAGCATGTGTTATGTTTTTTATTTTTTTTAAAAGATTTTATTTATTTATTTGAGAGAGAGAGAGAGAATGAGAGATAGAAAGCACGAGAGGGAAAGAGGGTCAGAGGGAGAAGCAGACTCCCTGCTGAGCAGGAAGCCCGATGTGGGACTCGATCCCGGGACTCCAGGATCATGACCTGAGCCGAAGGCAGTCGCTTAACCAACTGAGCCACCCAGGCGCCCTAGCATGCGTTATGTTAAACATTAATTTCCAATGGTTAACTTTAGGGCACTGGACTAGTATTAAATTGAATAATTAATAGATAATCTGTGTATCCTTTAATAGTTTCTAAATAAAATAGAATACTGAAACATTGGTAACGATGTGTAGTTTTAATTTTAACTTTCATATATTATGTAGTGACTATTTTTTTTTTTTGTAGTGACTATTTTTGCTAGTCTAAGAAGGCAGAGAGAAGATATGTGTGTTATGTTTGTCCATGAGTTTTGACGGATTGCTAAAACATATATGACAGTAATTCCTCAAGTATCAGACTCTCTGTGAAACCGAGGTTAGTTACTTTGGTTAAATTATAAATGGGGGATTGAGACTATACTAAGAACAATAGTGGCACAGAAGTACAACCAGGTAGGCAAGGTAATGGGATATGTTTTTGCTTATGTATGGGAAAAAATTAGTTTTGTACTTGAAGTCAAGTATCCGGGTTATTTGAGCATGTGGGAGAGGATTAAGAAGGATAAAACCCAATATTCAATGAATACTGAAAACTAGGTTTGTAGAAAGGAAAGTTTACTTGCTTTGAACTGTATTAACTACAAATAGTCTAAAAATATGCAATGAAATACTAAAATGTTGCCAAAGCTGGTTTAGTTTGTTTTTTTTTAATTGAACTATACTGACATACAATATCCTATTAGTTTCACATGTACATCATATCCATTCAACACTGTTATGTATTATGGAATGATCCCCCCAGTAAGTCATCATCTGTCACCATACGAAGTGACCACATTAGTGACTCGACACCCGGTACATCTCACAACTTGTCACTAAGTGTGACTCTCGGTCCTCTTCACCTGTTCTGCCTGCCCCGTCTCCAACCCCTCCCCACTCTCGTAACCAACAGTTTCCTCTACCTATGAGCCTCTGTGTTGTTTTTCAATTTTATAAGTTTCTGGGTTTTGTTTGTTCATTTGTTTTTCAGATTCCACATACAAGTGAAACCATATGGTATTTGTCTTTCTCCATCTGACTTATTTCACTTATCATAAAACCCTCTAGATCTATCCATGTTGTCACAAACGGCAAGGTTTCATCCTTTTTTGTGGGCGAGTAATATTCCACTTCATACACACACCACATCTTCTTTAGCCAATCATCTACTGACATACACTTGGGTTACTTCCATATCTTGGCTATTATAAATGATGCTACAATAAACCGGGATGCATGTATCTCTACAAATTGGTATTTTCATTTTCTCTGAACAAATACCCAGCAGTGGAATTGCTGGATTGTATAGTATTTCTATTTTTAGTTTTTTGAGGAACCTCCTTACTGTTTTCCATAGTGACCGCATCAATTTACATTCCCACAACAGGGTATGAGTGTTCCCTTTTTTCTACATCCTTGCCAACACTTGTTATTTTGTCTTTTTGAAATAGCTGGCTCAGTTTTTATGACTTATTCATGAGATTAAAAAGGGTGAGTTTATAAATCCATTAATGTCAAATATTTATTCACACAAAACCAGAATGTTGTTGCCACCCCTTCAAATTATTCAAACAAGCCAACCACATTCTTCTGTGGGATACCCATTCTCTTGATACTACAAAGCCTACCTCCACTACCCCTGGCTGTTCACTCTGTTCCTCAGTGCAACCCCCACATGGCTCTGTATGGCACATGGTTTCCTCTTCCTCCGGGATATGAGTTTACGTAATTAATAAGATGTGGTCTATCTCATCTATCCAGTGATGTGTGTTGAGGCATTCCCATAACCATACGGTGGGAATCCCTCTCTCAGCAATAGGGTGAATAGAAGGG